ATTAAGAAGACAAGCCTGTTTCTAATCATTTCAACCTCGACGACCATTCAATAGACGATCTCACCCTAATCCCAATTGAGCGTATAGAAATTGACTTGCCCGAAGATGAAACTACCAAATTCCGTCAATCTAGGGAGGCCCATTGGATTGAGACATTGAATACATCAAGACCTATAGGACTAAATATTCATCATAATGTAGGCATAGCACCCTTTGTTGTCCCGTTTAATACAACCAGCAATCGAGCAAGCAAGATAGTTCATGCCCACTATAAGAGCCTTCAAGAGAAATTCCCCCATGTCTATAAGCAGAAAATGATAGTTGCATATTCAAAAAATAAGAACTTAAATGATAATATTGTTCATAGTAAACTAAAAACAATCAGTACATAACAGATACTATACTTCTCGCCCATCGGGCGAGTTATTTTTTCTAATTTCAGATCAGAATAAGAACAGAAGAAAACCCAATATCAAGACCCTTAATCCTAATTTCTAAATAAAGTGTCTGCTCCACCCTAGGCCTGTACATTTGGGAGAATCAAACCCTCCCTTCCCCGAAATCTACTGGTTTAACGGCAGTTCGTTAAGCTTTTAATAGAAACCCAGATCCAAACAGACCCGACGATGCAATTTTACAGCTTCTAGAGATTTGTCTTGGCCGAAACGATTTCACATTTAATGATAAAACATATTTACAAACTTCAGGGACAGCTATGGGCAAACGATTCGCCCCTTCCTACGCAAACCTTTTCATGGCAGAGTGGGAACGTGAGGTGTTGCCCCTCTGTCCATTTGACCCACTTTTTTACGGACGCTTCTTGGATGACATTTTTATGGTTTGGACTTATTCTATCGAACAGTTTTGGGAATTCTTTGAAATTCTCAACAACTACCATCCTTCGATCAAACTAACCCAAACGTGAGTGATAAAAGCATAGACTTTCTCGATACCACTGTCTTTAAGGGAGATTCCATAGCCGAAACAAATAAACTGGATATTAAAGTGTATTTCAAAGAAACTGATACTCATCAACTCTTGCACAAGTGCTCTTTTCACCCAAAGCATACCTTTTCTGGTATAATTAAGCCACAGGTTCTACGATTTCACCGAATTTGCATATATTGAGCGCATAGAAATTGACTTGCCCGAAGATGAAACTACTAAATTCCGTCAATCTAGGGAAGCCCATTGGATTGAGACATTGAATACAGCAAGACCTATAGGACTAAATATTCACCATAATGTAGGCATAGCACCCTTTGTTGTCCCGTTCAATACAACCAGCATTCGAGCAAGCAAGATAGTTCATGCCCACTATAAGAGCCTTCAAGAGAAATTCCCCCATGTCTATAAGCAGAAAATGATAGTTGCATATTTAAAAAAAAATAAGAACTTAAATGATAATATTGTTCATAGTAAACTAAAAACAATCAGTACATAACAGATACTATACTTCTCGCCCATTGGACGAGTTATTTTTTCTAATTTCAGATCAGAATCAGAACAGAAGAAAACCCAACATCTAGACCCTTAATCCTAATTTCTAAATAAAGTGTCTGCTCCGCCCTAGGCCTGTACATTTGGGAGAATCAAACCCTCCCTTCCCCGAAACCTAAACATTATGCCATTTTACAAGAAATTGCTAATCGTCGCCGTAGTCCAAGAAGGTCATAAGTGGTAGATATGGCCAAAAACCCTTTATTGTCGATTTTGTTACAGAAAGTCATTGCGCATGTTCATACCAAATTTCATCCCTTTAACTTGATAAATTTTTGAATTATTCACAAAACAAAAAGGCCATATGTAGAATTATATGTATTTATTTATTGTATTTAAAAATAAGGTAGTAAGTGGTAGGTACAGCCTTCTACATCTGATAAGTTTAAGGTTATAGAGGCGTAAGTGGTAGTTATGACCTTATGGTTTTGGTGGCTGTTACCACGCAAGCTATAAACGAATTTTCACTGACAAACAGGTAATTGTTTTTTTTTTGTTATGTATTCTTGTATTAATCATATAGATCAAATCATACAGTTTTAACCATAGAACAAAAAACCATCGTATTATACTTAAATTATGATTTTCTATAATATCATAATCAAATCATTATTACTTTTTAACACCTTACTTTTTGTGCAGTTATGACCTTTTAATAGAAGACGTGTATTGAAAGATTATATTAAATATTGTGAAAAAAACAGTAAAAAAGTATATTTCTGAATGTGTATTACGTTTAAATTGGTTTCTATTTCAATTCAAGGCCGGATATTGTGATCATATATTAAAAATGAAATTTCATTGATACTTCGCTCAATATTTTGTCCCTCTCTTCCATTCCAAATATCATAAAATATATGTTTTACCCTATTGTTTAAAATTTTACAGTTGATTCAACCACATATTGTTGATTATTTTTTGCAGTACAGATTAATAGACACTATGGCCAAAATAGACAAGGCCTTAGATGAAACCAATGTACATGAAATAAGAATCTGTAAAGACGAAACAGAAGTTGAGACTGAATATGAAAATATCTGTGAAGAAAAGACTGAACATATCTGAAAGAAAAGACTGAACATATCTGAGAAGAAAAGACTGAGAATATCTGTAAAGAAAAGACTGAAAATTTCTGTAAAGATGACACTGAAAATATCTGTGAAGAAAAGACTGAAAATATCTATGAAGAAAAGACTCAAAATATCTGTGAAGAAAGGCTGAAAATATCTGTGCAGAAAAGACTGAAAATATCTGTAAAGATGAAACTGAAATATATGTAAAGATGAAACTGAAAATGTCTGTAAGGAAACAACTGAAAATATCTGTGAAGAAAAGACTGAAAATATCTGTGAAGAAAAGACTGAAAATATCTGTGAAGAAAAGACTAAAAATATCTCTAAAGAAAAGACTGAAAATATCTGTCAATGAAAATATCTGTGAAGAAAAGACTGAAAATACATGTTAAGAAAAGGCTGAAAATATATGTGAAGAAGACAGAAAATATCTGCAAAGAAAAGACTGAAAATATCTCTGAAGATGGAACTGAAAATATATGTAAAGATGAAACTGAAAATATCTGTAAAGAAAAAACTGAAAATATCTGTAAAGAAAAGACTGAAAATATCTCTGAAGATGGAACTGAAAATATATGTAAAGATGAAACTGAAAATGTCTGTAAGGAAACAACTGAAAATATCTGTGAAGAAAAGACTGAAAACATCTGTGAAGAAAAGACTGAAAATATCTGTAAAGAAAAAACTGAAAATATCTGTGAAGAAAAGTCTCAAAATATCCGTGAAGAAAAGACTGAAAATATCTGTAAAGATGAAATTGAACAACGAAAAGGAACTAATATCAAAACACAAGAAGAAAAAGATGTCTCTGAGACAACAATTGATGAGGAAACTGCAAATAATGAACATGCTTATGCTTCTACCACTCAAAAAACTGTAGTTACTGAAGAAAATAGTGATAGTGAGGATGATATTTCTTTGGTTGCTTTAAGACAGAAGGTTAAAAGTAAGAGTCAAGTTATTGTGCATGAAACTAACAATATTATGGAAGTTGCGCCTATGCAAGATGAAATGACTACTTTACAGGTGGAAGCTGATAATATCCAAATTTAGAAGTGTTATTCCCTTTATTTTGTGATTATCTCCAAGAGTCAGATGTGCAATTTACCTGTAAATAATGAAATCATAATTGACACAGAAAGTGTGTTTGATGGTGATACATTTGGCATAGAGACTGTTGGTAGAGCAGATCAAGTTTCAGATATCATAGATTTTGATCTTTTGGATGATAGAGATTCTGTGTTGGGCACTGGTCAAGATACGGAAGCAGGGATTGAAGATCAATCAAACAATGAAGATGGGTCTAATCACATTATAATAAATGAAAAGGGTAAAAGGCTTTCTCGAAGGAAATCAAAAGACCCAGATAATTGGAAACCTCAGTTAGAAAGCGTCTAAGAAATTCTGGTGAGGAGTACACTTCCTCTCAAGGTCGATTGGTTCAAAGAAAAGGGCTAAAGAGACCAAACTGCAAATGTAAATTCAAATGTACAACAAATTTGACAGAAGCAGACCAGGAAGATATATTTGTAAATTATTGGAAATCAGACTACGACAGGCAACGTGATTATATTTTATCATGTGTTAAGGTCATACATAAGAAAAGATCAACAACTTGGAAATATTAAAGAAGAAAATACACATGTGAATATTTTTTGCCTAATCAAGCAAAAACAAATCTTTTTCAGGTATGTCGTGGGTTTTTTTGTAAGCACTTTATCCATTGGAGAAAAAACTTTGACGTACTCATTGGGTCGCTCTGACAAGGTCAGATGTGAAGACGCCAGAGGGAAACATCACAATGTTTCTAATTCTATACCCAATGAAGCCAAGCATTACATAACACAACACATTGCGTCATTTCCTGTAAAATTCGAAAATTCGAAGCGCAAGTATTTAAATTCTGACTTGTCGATAAGGAAAATGTATGAAATTTACAAAGAAGGAAAATGTATGAAATTTACAAAGAAAAATGTTATCAAGACGGAAGAGAACCTGAAATGTTTTGGCTTTATGACAATATATTTTCACGTGAATTTAAGTATGGTTTCCATAAACCTAAAAAGGATATTTGCCTTATGTGCGATAGCTACTCGAAATTAAATCCACGGGATCAAGCTGAACAAAAACAATTATTTGATGAACACCTTGAGCGAAAGAAAGACACCCGTGAACTGAAAACTGTGGACAAGATAAGGGCTGTAAATGACAAAAATGTGTTAGGCATAAATTTTGATTTACAAAAAGTGCTCATTACTCCAAAATTAGAGATTTCTGACGCATACAATTTTTCTATTTATGATATGGCATCAAAGGAAGTTACATGTAATATTTGGTGGGAAAGTGAAGGAAAGCGAGGTAGTGAAATTGCGACTTGTTTGATGAAATATAATAAACTTGTGGGTCCAAAGCATGAACTTATATACTTCTCCGATACTTGCACTGAGCAGCAACGAAATCTACCCTTTTCAGTCATGTGTCTGCATAGTGTCATAAATCTACCTATCAATCGGATCACTCACAATTATTTTGAACGAGGTCACTCTCAGATGGAGGGAGATTCCATTCACGCGACCATAGAATCTGACACAAAACGACGGGAAATGTTTTATCCTGGTGATTGGATAACAGCAATTAAATGTAAAGTCAATAAACCAATGAGGAAATCATTTTTTAAGGATTGTGCAAACCAAACAATTTCAAATAGACACTAATGGGTTGATGGTACAATAGTCGAATGGACAAAGACACATTCTTTCCAATATAAAAAGGAGCCCGACAAAATCTTCTATAAGTACAATCTAAAAGATAACTACCGAAGTTTCACTATATTTAGAGGTAGATTTAATAAGCAAAGGAAGTTGAAGAATTACCAACTGACACAACTCTATAAAGGAATTCCAATATCTGATGCTAAATATAAAGATTTGAATTCCTCATGCCGTAAAAATGTTGTACCAAATGTTTATCATGTTTTTTACAGTAATCTGCCCTACAATTAACAGACATTCTACCAGAACCAAATAACTCGAACGATTCAGATGAAGAGTAGACTTGCAATTAAGGAGGTTGAGTGGGCTGACACATTTAAATAAAATATCTTCAAAATGTTCACGGTATGCTTCATATACACATTTTTTCAAGAGTATGATATAAAAGTTTTCATAAATTATAGCCTGAAATTGATGTTGATAGAAGCACTTACTGTATAGAGGTTAAGGGGCGATAACTCCTCAAAACTGACGTAAGAGGCCTAAGTCTTGAAAAAGCCTTAAATTTAATCAGAAGTAAATTAATCCTTCTCAAACCTTTCGATTTAGGTCCAATAACATCCATTTTAAGTTTCATCAAAATCGGTTGAAAACTAAGAAAGAAATAGCATATTCAAGATTTTGGGGCAAGGGCAATAACTATGCTTTTAACGGTCGAAAATAGCTCAAATTCGAACATGATCTTCGTTTTATGAATATGTATACACTGAATTTCATTTGATTCCATCAAAAAATCTAGTTTTTAGAGCGTTTACAAGAAAATATTGACGGACCGACGGACGGACAGGAGTGCCGACAATATACGTCCACATAGAGAGATGTGGGCGTATAAAAAAGCATACGTGTAAGATAAAAGTTAAATGATGGTAATAGCCTTATTCGTTTTGTTGAATTAAACCAATCGCCACAAGTCAGTTGTTCAGTAGTAAAATTCTACTGACATTTTCTTTACATTAGCATAGAGATAGAGCTCCATTTCAGTTGTTGCACTTCCTGAACTACTACTATGCTCGGGTAAAGAAATTTCAGTAGAATTTTTGATAGATGCTGTTGTGCTAATTATGCTAAGTCAAGCATATTAAAATATTATGTTTTTTTCTATTAATTAAAAATGTGTGTTTTCATTGGGTGATTTAATTGTACTTTTTCATTATGTTTTATAAATTAAAATCCAAATATCAAAATTATGTAGTTGTGATTGCTACATACAAACACGGCAGAGCATTCTCACCCTTCCTGAACATCTGATGTCACCCTGTGACTGGTTTTGTTAACCTAGCAATCAAGATGATTCATTTGATATAGAATTGTCAATTTGTCGTGTCCGACCTTGAGCATACAATTTGCCAAATGCGGAATTGGATAACAATTAGATTTCGGTTTCTTAATCATGGAAACCGCTGTATTGTACATACATGTACATGCACTTAATAAATAGAGTCGTATACTGCAGTGAATAATTTCACCAAAGGGTCATAACTACCACTTATGACAATAAGCAACCATTTCCTTACAATTACCCCTCAGAATAAGAAGGTCTTATCTACAAATATAGGTGAAATCATGAACTATTTATGGAAAATGTGTATTTTGGCTACTTAGTTATATATGAAAAATAATGGTCTTACCCCAAAAAAATTGCAACAAAAGGTTTTATTGTTTTAAATACATTGGAAGGTCATACTTAACCTTAGAAAAAAAGTCTTCAAAAATCCGACCACGGGAAAGGGGTTAATTAGCAAAATTCAAATTGGCCCCGCCCTGAAGGATTTCGGCCGGATATTCACCACTCACTAAACACAGATCACAAATTTAAAGAACAACTTAGTAGGAAATGTACATCAAAATTATTTTGTAATTCTATGGGGTTATGGTTATGTTAGGGGACTATTTTTGCGTCTTTAGGATATAAGACGGTAAGTTTTATAAGACGGTAATCTGTGTGCCTATGTTGATCGCGAAAACGGTTTGTTCTCATGGAGTGGGACAGTACAGATTGCGCTGTAATAGGCTTAACATACAGAGCACTGACAGCATAGATGGCTCTGCAGCAGGTTAACTTTTTTTTGGCCTGCCGCATTTATTCACCAATACAGATGCTAACTAATTCTGCAAACAGATTATTAGTGAGCATTAATTGTCCTCCTTTTCAATAATACAATTGTGTGCAGCTAACACAGATGAAGATATCTGCCCTATCTGTAATAAGGAAATCAACGATGATGACACAAGTAATATTGCCAAGCTTTTCAGGAGGGGAGATGATAAAATCAATGATTCAAGTCGTAAACGAGGTCGTGATGATGTTGTTGTGAGCGAAGGTCAAATAGTTCATAAAGACTGTCGTAAATGGTACACTAATGAACAAGATATTAACCGAACGTTAAAACATGATAGAAATTCATCACCTTGTGTAAGAAAGAAAGTGCTCGAGTCAGTAACAGACCGTACAATTGCAGAACAGATTGCCTCTTCTGTGGACAAGCGACAGCTTTGGGAGATAGCCATGGTCACAGTGATAATGTTAGTGAAGTTAAGACTGATGGACTGTCTTGCCACATTGTGAAGAACGATCTGATGACTGGTCCTTTATCGTACAGGGCCGAATAGAGTATTTTTGTAAAGATTTGCATGCAGCTGAATGTATTTATCACCAGCAGTGCAGCGTTAACTTTCGTTCCGGGCATGACATACCAGAGCAGTTTAGGCCAGAGACAATGGCAAAGTACAGAAAGGCTGGTAGGCCCAAGAATGAAAACCAACAGCAGGCATTTCTCAGAGTCTGCGCTTACCTAGAAGCAAATGATGAGGAACAGTTAACTATAACTGACCTTGCGTACAAAATGAGAGTATCTTTTAGATAAAACCTCTGTTTCCTATGGCAACCAGTACCTGAAGGAAAAACTGAAAAAACATGGTGATTCTATATACATTGTGATTGTATATAGCTGAACAAGGAGGTGTTCAGGACATTGTGACTATGAGAGAAAAGACTTCCCAAATACTTCGAGCATACTTCAAGAGTGCTAAAAGCAGTGATGAGGAAAGTCAGAAGAGGTCAATTATTGCGACTGCAGCAAAGCTTATAAAGTGTGATATCAAGACGGATGGTCAATCAATGACTGATCAGTATCCGTCTTCTGAAAGCCTTAAACTGGATACTGCCCTGAACTATTTGCCCTCATCACCGTATGCTCTTGAATTTACTATTTGTTGGTACACATAAACACAAAAAGGTTGCTTCAATTGGTCAGTCAATTATTCAAGCAGTCCGACCTAGGGCTATATTGGCACCACTTCAAATAGGACTTGCTTCTCAACTTCACTATCTATATAGGTCCAGTTTCCTTGTTGATACTCTTTCTGTGATGGGGTTTGGTTGCTCATACGCAGAAGTTCAGAGATTTGAGAAAAATGCTGCTGGCTTGATCGCTCTCGATGTACTGGGTGAAGAAATTCAAGGGATTGCGTTATTTGTAGCAGGCAATGTGGACCACAATATCCTGACACTCGATGGCAAAGTAAGCTTTCATGGGATGGGAATTATAGCTGCAATAACACCTGGAAAGGAGATAAACCATATAGTACCAAGGAAGAATGCTTTGAACTGTCCAAAACAGATATAGTTGACTATCGCTTTTCAAAATATGCTCGCAAACATGTAATGCTCGATCCTCTTCCAGTTGTGTGCCAGCTGTAGACCTTCTTTGGGAACTTCCATTCTGCTTTCACCAACTCCCAATTGACAGGAGATGGTGCGTCTTCTCCATGGCGAAAAGGAACACCCTGGCAAGTCATCTGTGCACTTCCTGCCAATGATAGATATGTATCCTGGAGATCCCACGTGCATTCTCTTTCCACACTCAACTATGTTTGCAATTTTGCAGATAGACACAACATTTCTCCTATCATAACCTTAGACCAACCTTTGTTTTGGAAAGCCTCTGAGATCATCTATAACGCACAAACCAACAGTCCACTGAAAAAAATAACTTTGATTCTTGGTAGTTTTCATACGTTTATGAATGTGCTAGGTGTCATTGGTAGATGCAAGGCTCTGGACTAAGAGAAATTCTGGAGGTAGTCTATGTAGAGAATGTGGTTTAGCACATGTTCACTGGAAAATCAGTGCAAAGGGCATTCCGATGACTCCTTTTAGTAGAGAAATGTATAAATGGCATGATAGTGTCTTATCTCTTTGACAGTAACTCTGAGTTTATTACCTTAGTCGATGAGAATGAGGATATTTGCACCTCACTGATTGCAGCAGAAAGCAATTTCGAATCCCTCGCTACATCTGATTTGAAGAATTTAATTGAACAAGCACTAGAGAAAAAGAAACACTCTGACACTCTGACTTCATTGCGACATAGCATTTTAACAAAGAAAGTAGTTTCTGCCACATAATTTGCCACACCAGAACGACTTCCACCAACTGCGTCTGCAACAAAATATCATTCCTTACGAGTTTTCAATCAGATCATGACATGGATGGGAAAAGAGACTAACCTTGATGCAACAGACTGGGGACGGAAAACTGAGGCCAATCAATTCATCCCAGTCATGACAGATAGAAATGCCGCCCAAGACAATCTACTAAAAGTAGTCCATTGCAACTGCACAACAGGCTGAAGTACACAACGCTGCACTTGTCGGACAAATGGGTTACCCTGTACATCTGCTTGTGGACAGTGTCAACTTGATTCATGCAACAACCCACACAACCATTCACAGGCAGATCAGGATACTGACAATGATGACCTGTAATCTATGGTATGTGAAAATGTGGCACTAAAATTATTCATTTCTACGTCATGGTGACGTCGTTGTACGTCACAGTGACGTCACAGAACATTTTAAACATGCTCATTTAGTTAAATGGTATCATGTTTCTATTTTCTATCCATTGGTAATACATTTATAGGGTCTAATTCCAACAAAAAAGATAGCTTGCTTTGCAAGGTAACATACGCCCACTGGCAGCTGTCAGAAAAAATAAAACAGTCTTTAGTGACTAAAGTACGAATTTTTCCAAGTTTTGCAGTGCCTCCATCATTTGGCAATCCTTACCCTTCAACAGCAAGGCCAACCAGCGTTTAACTTCAAACGCAAAGTCTCTGAGTTGGATAGTTTTATCCGTCCAGCAATGAAAACATCAGCTGTCGACGCGAATATTAGATCCCTCAATCGGACATGGCTCTGTGAGGTTACGCAGGTCCTGATCGACCATTACCAAACCACACTTCAAGAGAAGCTGACCACCATTCGTACCAAGTCTTTATCATCACCTGCCGTCGACCGCATCGTTTCTCATGCCCTGTCCTGGGCCCGTCGCTCCTATGGGAAACGTTTCACTCAAGCTGTAATCTCCAAAGTCTACCAAACAATCAACGAAACAAAAACCAGAGTAACCATATCTCTACCAACTGAAATGGACACTACACCTGCACCATCTAGAGCCACCACGCTGCCGAACCAAACCCCTAAACGAGCCCGAAGTTCACCTACCCCCAGTCCAGCAGACATAGGTAAACGCTCTCGTAGAGAGGGCACACCCCTTCTCTTTTCACTTTCAGACTCGTCTTCCCCTTCCACACCATCTGAATCTTCACCACGTGATCCAGGATCCGCCAACTTTTCTTCCTTCTGTGCGTTTTTGGACCAGCAAACCACCCCTCAGTCTCCATCCAAGTCGAGACGTGTATCCAGACCTTCCCCTCCTCGAACCAGATCCCAGTCCGTTCCCAATGCTACAATTCTAACAACTACCAAACCAGTACCAATCACACCGTCGACGACCATTATATCCGCTACCAAACCGTATTATCACCAAACCAAGGACAAATCATTATGGAAACTACCTGCTCTAAAGAAATCAACCTTAATAATTGGATCATCTAACCTGAATCGAATTACCAAAACCAGTTCAGACACCGAAATACATTCTTACCCCGGTGCCCAAATCCATCACATACAGTCAATCCTGGAATCATACGACCATGATCCCAAACCTACTACCATTATTCTTCATGTAGGCCTCAACAACCGTGATCAGATACCAAAGACCTCCTTTAACCAAGCCCAGAAATTAATCGCCACAGCCAACAAAACCTTCCCAAACTCCAAGATCCTCTTCACATGTATACCCATTTCAAATAAAATCTCGAAGAAAGCACAACAGAACCTCAGCACCCTCAACAACATGATGATGGAGTCCAGTATCAACAGCGCAACAATCTTACCACCCTACGAAGAAGAATTCGAAACAGTTGATAATCTTCATTGGTCTCCAGAAACAGCAAACAGCATCTATTTGTTTTGGATACACCAGCTTCAAGCATCGAGTAAGTCTTTAAACTAATTACTGGGGATAAAAATACTGAGAGGCCACCGCTAGGCCAAACAGTAGTTAACTTGAGCCGCAAAATTCTCACACCCCTTCAGCATTCAATCTTAGACCGTGGACTTAAGTTTATTCCCACACCAAAGATAGCTAACTTGAATTATCTCCGACCATCCATTGAACGATTTCAACGAAATCTTAGCTGCACATATTTTTTTCGAAACCACCCCCCACGTGGTGCTAGAACAATGTTTATTCCTAAATCCACGTGGACACCCCCTCAGGCCGCCATCCATCCTGAAATATTTGAAAGCATTTGCGAGTATGAATAGCCAAACAGTGAACCTTTCCATAACACACGAAAAGCCTAATCTCACACGAGTGGAACGTGAAGCGTTAAACTTACTTAAGAAAGACGATAGCATTGTTATTGAAAAGAGTGACAAAGGTTCATGTTGTGTCATTCTGAATAGGGAGGATTACGTTTCAGAAGCAGAGAATCAACTGAATAATCCTAAACATTATGCCATTTTACCGAAACCAATTTTCAAAGAAACTGCTAACATGATTAATAATATTCTTGCCGATTTAGTCAAAACTAGTTATCTCAAACAGAAACAATATGACTATCTGTCTGCCAAACCTGATTGTCGCGAGAGACATTTGTACACTTTGCCTAAAATCCATAAGAATCCAACCAAGGAGTGGTTTATCTCGAATAAAATCCCTAAAGGCCGCCCGATTATATCTGACTGTGGTAGTGAGTCATATGCAGTGTCAGAATACATTGATTATTTCTTACTACCTCTAGCATGCCAACATCGTGCCTACCTTAAAGACACAACCGATTTTGTCAATAAAATAAAAAATCTTCGAGTTCCCTCTAATGCCATTTTAATTTCTATCGACGTTTCTTCTATGTATACCAATATCGATAACACTACTGGTTTAACGGCAGTTCGTAAAAGCTTTTAATACCAGATCCAAACAGACCCGACGATGCAATTCTACAGCTTTTAGAGATTTGTCTTAGTCGAAACGATTTCACATTTAATGGTAAAACATATTTACAAACTTCAGGGACAGCAATGGGCAAACGATTCGCCCCTTCGTACGCAAACCTTTTCATGGCAGAGTGGGAACGTGAGGTGTTGCCCCTCTGTCCATTTGACCCACTTTTTACGGACGCTTTTTGGATGACATTTTTATGGTTTGGACTTATTCTATTGAACAGTTTTGGGAATTCTTTGAAATTCTCAACAACCACCATCCTTCTATCAAACTAACCGCAAACGTGAGTAACAAAAGCATAGACTTTCTCGATACCACAGTCTTTAAGGGAGATTCCATAGCAGAAACAAATAAACTGGATATTAAAGTGTATTTCAAAGAAACTGATACTCATCAACTCTTGCACAAGAGCTCCTTTCACCCTAAACATACCTTTTCTGGTATAATTAAGTCACAAGTTTTACGATTTCATCGAATTTGTACAAGATCTTCTGATTTCAACCAAGCCTGTACGATTGTTTTCTCAAAACTGAAAGAGCGTGGGTACTCTAAACGATTTTTACGAAACATAAAAAATTCCACCTTAGCACAGATAGCAGCTAAAAACAGACTTTATGCCGAAGTACCTCCAGGTTTAAGAAGTGCTCCATGTTTGTCCAGTAGATGCAAAACATGTCCCTTTATATCAGAGACTCATTATTTTGTAAGCAACTCTACGAATAAAAGGTACCCGATCCAGGAACATCTAACATGTGAACATTCGAATGTAATATATTTAATTTCACGCAAGAAATGCCCCAAACAATATGTAGGAGAAACTAAGAATAATTTACGAACTCGCTTTAATGCTCATAGGTCAGACATCAAATTAAATAAAGACAAGCCTGTTTCTAATCATTTCAACCTCGACGACCATTCAATAGACGATCTCACCCTAATCCTAATTGAGCGTATAGAAATTGACTTGCCCGAAGATGAAACTACCAAATTCCGTCAATCTAGGGAGGCCCATTGGATTGAGACATTGAATCAGAATTATTGCATTTCAAACTATAAGAGCAAGATATGTGAAAAGTGAGAATAATAAAAAGTTATATATAAAGCACCCTTTGTTGTCCCGTTTAATACAACCAGCAATCGAGCAAGCAAGATAGTTCATGCCCACTATAAGAGCCTTCAAGAGAAATTCCCCCATGTCTATAAGCAGAAAATGATAGTTGCATATTCAAAAAATAAGAACTTAAATGATAATATTGTTCATAGTAAACTAAAAACAATCAGTACATAACAGATACTATACTTCTCGCCCATTGGGCGAGTTATTTTTTCTAATTTCAGGTCAGAATAAGAACAGAAGAAAACCCAATATCAAGACCCTTAATCCTAATTTCTAAATAAAGTGTCTGCTCCACCCTAGGCCTGTACATTTGGGAGAATCAAACCCTCCCTTCCCCGAAATCTTAGTCGATGCCTAAATCCTCGGAGGGGAAGGCTTGCATGACTTTACGACTGTTTGAGGCAATTTTATGAAGTCTTAAATTGCCATGAGTTTTCAAGGCTTGTTGTGTCCGCTGCATAAGGTCGATAGTCATATCTTCATTGGGAAGAAACGTGAGGCCGTCGTCAACATAGAAATCTCGGTCTACGAAGGATTTCATGTCTGAACCGTAGACAACTTCGGCACATTTGGTTGTATGACGCAAGCCAAATGTAGCAATTGCTGGAGAAGGACTGTTTCCAAATACGTGTACACACATTCGGTATTCAATAATGTCATTGCTTGAATCGTTGTCTTTGTACCAAAAGAATTTGAGAAAATTGCGATGTGATTCTTTGACGTAGAAACAGTGAAACATTTGTTGAATGTCGGCGGTTATGGCTATAGGGTTTTTTCTGTAGCGCATCAATACACCAAAAAGGTTATTAGTAAGATCCGCGCCGGTAAGTAAAACGTCGTTAAGGGAAAGGCCGTTTTGTTTTGCAGAAGAATCGAAAACAACTCTAATCTTACCTGGCTTTTTAGGGTGGTAGACACCAAAAATGGGCAAATACCAAGCCTCCTCGCCATGGACGTGTGGTGGTGCTACCTCTGCATGCCCTTTGTCGAGAATCCCTTGCATGAAGGTGAAGAAATGATTGCGTTTTTCTTTGTTTTTTGCGAGACTGTTGCAAAGAATTCTAGTGCGACGAAGAGCTTGAACCCTATTGTCGGGTAACCTTGGTCTACCGTTTCTGAAAGGCAGTGGTGATACCCAATTACCGACTGAATTTTGGTTTATTGATGATTCCATCAGATTCATGAACTCTTTATCTTCTTGAGAATGACCGACTTTGTCATCATCCTTTGTGAGTTGAAATATATTGTTATTTGTTTGAAACTGGAATTTCTCCTTAATGGAGAAGCTGCTTTCGCAAGGTTGAAACAAAGAGGGTCTACCAGATTTATTGATGTATGTTTTATTAACACTGACATGAGAAGTTGGATGAATGTTTCCAAGACACACATCGCCTATCACAACCCATCCTAAACTTAATTTCTGAGCAAATGGGGAGTTTGGTGGACCTATCCGTTGTTCCAGGACGTGATGAGCATCAACCAAATCTCTGCCGATGAGAAGTAGAATTTGTTGATGGGTGGAATTACGACACCATTTAAATGAGGATGATGAAGGCAAACTTCAGGAGTAGGGATCTCTTTCCGAGCGTTTGGGATATCGTTACATTCGATGATGCTAGGAATAGGTATTTTTGTTTTTCCATCCAAAGGCTGAAGTATCAATTACAGGTCAATTAGGCCCTACTGGGCCCAGAACTAGATGTGGTGCTTATTTGACCAATGAATTGAGTTAGAACTGGTTACTGCAAATCTAGGCTTCCAAAGGAGACCAGTCTATCAACCAATTATAGCTATTTGGCTACTTTAGACTTTTGATTCATATTTCAGTTTCAACAGCTTGATCCATTTTTCCTTCGGTATTGTGATAACTGAGATTACCATGTTGCCTACCAGGAATTACTGAGCAACAACCAGGCACTGAACACTGAGTGAGAAGTCAAACTGAGCAGACTATCTTTGTCTGCAAGAAGTTACTATCTCGACATATGCCGGGATTGAACCCCAGAACTTCAGGTTAGTAAGCATGCGTATAGAGTAAACAGAACTGGTCTCGGGACCGAGCCTTCAGGAACGCCTCGGCATAAAAAAAAACTCTCTCTGACGACATGCCTGTTGCCGATACTGACAGATTGGCTTCTGTTACTTAAATATGATGTGAAATCGATCTTTTAAGCGCTGAAGTAGAATTTGATGATTCAACGTGTCGAATACCGCGCTAAGGTCTAGTACTGATACAATATCATTATGTACGCGCAGTAAGGCAGTCTCTGTGCCGTAGTGTGGTCGATATGCTGATTGACATTTAGTGTAGAGGGAATTCTCACTTAAGTATGTCACCAAGCAAGCAAATGCAGTTTTTTCAAAATTAAAAGATAGGTTAGAAACTTGTCTAAAATAATTGATAATTTTTGAATCGAGGTTTCTTTATCAAAGGCCGCAACAACGCCAGTTTCAAAGGATTTATTTATCATCTGTCAGTGAAGGTATTACTTGATCAGCACACTGATCAAGAGGGCACGATTTTGACGGAGCTTGCAAAATTAACCTTTGCGTTGCAAATCGAATTGTCACGGTGTGTTATGCAATCGATTATTTTTTTTCCGGGAAGCTTTCTAGAATAAACTGAAAATGATAGAGCGTTCTGTTTTTACCAACCTTTTTTTTTTACATGGACTGGAATCAAAAATGAATATCCTAATTGAAAACTTTGCTAAACCGGAAGTGACATATTGCATAATGAAAATAATTTGGTTAAGTGTATGAAGAGCTTAGTTATGGACCGATTTACCACGAGTTTTCTTTTTTATGCCTTTGTAACAATGCAAGGTATTGAATGCAATCAAAAATTCAAAAATTTTGAAAATTATTGAAATTTTCAACTTAAGCGCTGATTATCGGATCTGAAATAATAGGATATAGACAGAATACTGTGTCATCAAAATTTTTAAATCACTCCCGGTTTGGGCGTGAGAACTTCCGGCTTCTCAAAATCGTTTTGGGTGACCCTGCTTCCGATGTAATTCACAAATGTAGACAAAAATCGTAAAGATCATCTATAATAATTAATTTGATTCACCTAAGAAGAATAATTCAAACCGGAAGTGACGCATTCGCCGTTAGAGTGGCGCATTTTCGTTAAAATTTTAATTGGTTCGCCATTTATTATCCGATTTGTATGATTTTGGTGTCTATCAGAACCTAATTACTTTATCTAAAACTTGTTAGGATCAGAGTTTTGAATTTAAAATTTCCTTTAAGCCCGTTCGAATTTTTTGAAAATTTAAAAGGCTATTTCTCGTGATCTTGACCTTTAATTACCTTGATTTTTCCAGTTTAGAATGTCCTTGACTTCAGTTATCATTAATCTGATTGCGTAATATTTAAAATGTATTTATTTGTTTGCAAAATTGCACATACAAATTTCATAAATACCTCCAATTACAACTACAAATACTTTATTTGATATATCGCTATTAAGGATATTATATCAACAAAGGCGCTTTATAATAAAAGAAATCACATGCATGAACATATAAATACATATCAATCATTGTTTCTATAGACAAAGTTCATATCAATTAAAAGACAATACGTAATAAAAAGTAAGTCCATGTTCATCAAGACTAGAATACTGACTAGATCATACAAAAACTTTTATGTTAAAAACTTCACATTTTCCACTCCACATTTAAAGCTCTGAATTCGCAAAATATCGAACCGTTGTATTTTTTTTTTTATCTTAATTAGAGAAATAATTTCTAATACTTGTGAACAAGTGTTTCTTCGGGAGAGTATCTTTTATAAACTGTCAGTTGCTCATCTAGGTTAGTGGGGATCCTTTCCTGGGAATTTAACATGATATGCTCTCTTGCATTTATGAATCCCCTCTGTAAGCCAATTTAATGAATGTTAATGGAAGAATTAAATAACTTCAGTCAGTAGTATATATGAATACCAGTCAGCATGTCGACAAAATTTTCTAAGAGAGTTCGGCGACAGAAGTCAACTCAAAATTTAATGAGAGAAGTCTTTGACAAAAGTGATCAAATTCCTATCACTGGTGACAAATCTGATTGTCTACGTGTGTTTTTGTCAATTGAATAATTAAGAGGTTTATCGTGATGCAGTATAAATTAGTTCTATTATTTTAACAAATTGAGAAAGTTTTAATTTCTTGTTAAAAAAATGTAGAATGTAGGATTAAAAGCACCTGTTTTGAGAGTTAATAGGCTACAAGTTTAAAAAGGTTCTGAAAATGATAAAATAAGGTCTCGTTGCCAGGCTTGGAGCTGTTCACAGTTCTAGTTTAATTTCATTTTCGGTTCGAAATAGTTGAGTTTTGGAGGAACTGTTTGATATTGTTCATGTTGAGGTGGTGCAGCCCTCACCAAGACAAAGTTCATCAATTTTGCTTTTGCTTTTGAAAATGACATCATCTGGTTTTAGTGTGACCGATGCTTTCATTTTCTTTAATCCAATCATATCATTTAATAAATCGAGCATTGTCTTGGAGTTTTCAATTCGATATTTGTGGTACATAGCTTTAGTTTTTTCGATTTCGCTATTGTAGGTTACATGTTTTATTTGTGAATTTGTTTGTGAATTTAGTTATTAGATGATTTCCTCTTTCTCTCAGTGCGTCGAACTTCTTTACTCACTTCTGATACCTGCCAAAAACCAGGGAGCTCTCGGTTTGTGAATAACTGACTTTTCAGATAGTGGAGCTAAGAAATCCAGAGCGAGTTTGACTGTAGTATTGAATTCGTTTGCTAGCACATGAACGTCACTGTGCAGAAGTATTCTGAAAGTTTTCCATATCTAGGTCTGCAATTTTTCGTCGGGGATTTTGTTATTAGACGGCGCATGATATTGAAGGTAGATGACCATCTATACTCAGATTTTTGATAAAATGGAAATTAAAGTCACCAGCGATTAATAAAGTATCGGGCCTGATAATAAGTTTTTCTAGAGAAGGAGCAAATTTCGTCAGAAAGTTGTCATTTTCAATTTGTTTTTATCTGTTTTTATAGATAACTATAGTACTGAACTGTTGGGTGATGAGTGTATGGTATTGTCTAGGTATTGGAAGGATCTGAATGGGTTGCTAGTTTGCAATTTAATTTGAAGATTACATCTGGCTAAAAGGCCGACGCCACCCATTCAACGAAGCTTCCTAAGCTTATGATAGCCGAGTTTAATCTGCCATAAAAATTTGCCCTTTTAAAGAGAAAAACACTCAGTCTCAAACTTATTAAAATTAGATTACAATTTCGTTCAGATATTATTGTTTTTGGTTTTTCTATTCCGGACCCAGTCCGCCTCACCTCCAGTGTTTTCACTGGGCCAGAATGGTGAGTCATTAGGTACACACCAGCTCTTCAGCCAGTGTACGCGGACATTCAAATGCGGAGAAAACATTTTTTGGTCTATAAGAAATTTCCCCGAGTGGAAATGTATTCAGATGAGCTTTCATATTTCAAACGTTGTATGTACTTCAAAACACGCCGTTTGGATACCAGACTATTTCGTGTATTGTGCTGGTATAAAGTACCAACGATTCCATTGTTTCCTTAATTTCATACAAGAACATTTCGCTTAATGAAAATGAAGATGAATAACCCCACCTTTCAAACGTCCCGCTGAAGAAATATTTCAATCCACTATAAGACAATGGTCTATTACGTGATTTGCCAGACTCGCAACATTTAAACTTGAATGTACCAAACATAATACATAACAATACAGTATGCTTGACCACTGCAATCTTTTATCCAAAAGTGCCTTTTCTCGGACTAAATTTTGATTCCTAAATAACAAACGGTTTTAACACGTGATAGAATAACTGATTGCATGATAATGATTTGTGGACTTTTTTCCCACTCGAGTAGGGACACGCGAAGGAAATATTCGCTGTGGAGAACAAATTGGTTGAGATTAATCAAACTAGTCGGCTACGCGATAATCTTGTTGGGGATGCGCGGACACACTGAACAATTTACTCAATATTCGCGTCGGCGACAAAATGTGTTAGTATGCCCCAGCATTAGATCGAACTGCAATGATTTCTTCAGATATGTATCAGAAGTTAGTAAAAGGCGTACGGCTTCTATGTACGATTGATTCTTATTCAATGGAACGACAATCATGCTATGAATGTTGTATATAGTTGCGTTGGTATACATCCCATTCAGACAGCAACACGTGGGTCAAAGAAAGCATTTTAACCCATTTCTGGTTACCAACTCATGGGTGGTGTTGATCCCGTGGATCAAAACATAAGGAATTATCGTTCTGTTATACGATCTAAAAAAAATGGGTTGGTCGATTTTGAATTATACCATTGATCTCTGTTCAAAAAAGCATGGCATATGTATTTGGATTTAGAGGTAAACAAAGACCAGAACCTAAATTTGCAACACATTGACGTGCTATTGGTGACTTCGTTATACGCCTGGACGCATATTACTGTCTGTCGGTCTACCCATCCATATTTCTTGTACTGATAGACACAATTGCAGTTTTTATCTGATGAAACTTTGTATGCATGTATACATTGCAGAGATCTCGTTCAAGATTGAATTTGGTTTTAATTAGATGAGAACAAACTACACACAAATCGCAAAATCCCTTCAAATATACCTAAAAAAGACATTTTTATTTCTAAATATGTCTGAAGAAAAGGTGAGATGTAACACATCGATTTGAAAGCTCAGGTTTCGCAGGTGAGCTGCGGTACTGATTAGATAAAAATTCCCGTTTCTGAAAGTAAGTTACGTTTCTGAAAGGATGGTGAACGTGTCCCTTTAACTGATTTTGATGAAGCTTGGTATGCTAGTATATATTGGTTGCTTCTTAGTCAAGTTCTACTTTAGTGAAAATCGTATGAACTGTTTGGGAGTTATCGCCCTTGGCCTAGTATAAACTGTTATAATTTGGCTTGTGGAAGCGACAGAGACTGAAATTGTTATCTGATTTGAATGAGACAGGATATCATAGCATATCTTGAGATCTATGTCAATTCCAAATTTGGTAGTTATTTGATGAACGGTTTTGGATTTATTGCCCTTGACTTGGTATAAACGCGTGACTTTTGGCTAATTTTAAGTATTAATGATGAAACTTGGCATTTATGTATATATTGATAAAATAAAGTGTGTCAAATTTGATGTTCAAAAATCATAATTTAGAGTATAATGTTAATCATATTTTGATAAAATTACGCATATGTTGATGTTTAAACGGTTTTCGAGGTATTGCTTTGACTTAAAATATCTTTTAAAACATGAGAGCAGTCTGATTTTAATAATTTATTGTATTTGGGTTATTGCTGTGGGTTTAAAAACATTTTATGGAACAACTTAAGTCTAAATAACTGTAAGTGATGAAACATTGCAAGATTTTGAAGTACCATAACATTATGAAGATCTCAAATATGAAAATGAAAAAATATGAAAGACAAGTGACATCCGCCAGGGAGGGCGTTGTTACCTTGCCGGGCAAGCTTTATTTTTCATTTTACATTTATTATGTGCTCAACTTAGGTATTTTTAAAAGTATAGATTGAAGAATCCTGTATAAAAATCGAATTGAACTTCTGAAAATCATGCAAATTCAGTGCCATATATGGAAAGTAAATGTATGTAAGTAATATATGACACAATCTTGGCATTTAAAATCCATTTTTTAAGAAAAACTCGGACATGAAAGGGTTCAAACACGTTTTGTCATTTTTAAAGTTATATTGATTTTACATATTACTTTTTAAAATGATACTTTCAGTATCCAGAAAAAGATATCAACTAATCTTTGGAGAGGATAATTCTGCCATTTTGCTTTTCTCGGTAGGCATTTAACTTGAAAACTATTGAAACTAAAGCAAATTCTTTTGTGGGTTGTTAAAAATAAGAATAAAGTTAAAAAAAATTAAAACCTATTAATTTTACTTTTTTATAATTAAATTATTACAATTCTACAAATCAACAATAACAATAATGGAATAATAATAATAATAATTATAATAATGAGTTATAAATATATAATCTATTGTTTATAAAGGATACCTATTGAACCCAACTTATACAATTCAGTTATTATACTTTCAGTTCAGTTTTCATCATAGATCTTTAGGGATATTAGGTATGATATATACAAATCTTTATCGGGGAATATGATTCGTTAATTAACTAATCTTCGCCCTAAAAAACAGCACTGTTTGCACAAAATATAAAGCAGGATATAAGAACATAAATACAAATTGGCAGAACGTAATCTACTAAACTTTGATTTTTACCATGACTAGTTCGAACATTAGGGTTTCCATACACAAATCAAAGTGCATGGAAAGTATTTGGTGCCATAATTATTATAACCAAGTAAGAATTGTGTGAAATACATCAAACTGGAAAAAATATGAGATTTGGAAAACAAATATTTTTAAGAGCACAACTTGAAATTGGTGAACCTGAGTAGTTGGTATATTTCACTTGGAGAGAATGTCATTTAGACATAGAACACAGATAATAACACGACCAGAAATGGATAATGTTACCGACAACCGCATCCCTCTACTACCATATCTTGATAGTTTTTAAGCACAACTTTGTCCCACTCATCTAAGTATAACATTGATATAGCGCTAAGTTCTGAAGGCACACAACATGCTTTTGGTACGGCACTAGGGTTAACAGAATGCACTAAAGTTTGCATCACTGCATGGTGTGTCGAATTCAAATGTTGTCCCATCGGAAACGGACACTCACCCCGACAAAAATAGGCATTATAGCCAGTTGGTGCTACAATCCAGTCATTCCAACCGACATCGCCGAAGTCTACATATAAAGCGTGTCTTTTGCACTCATTTTTATTTCCCTTCTTCTTACGACGTCTACGCTTCCGCGACTTTCGTCTACGGTTTCTGGCTGATGCACGTTTAATTCGAGAATTGGGATTACGTCCATCATGTGTATAAGTTACTAGAATGGGTCTTTGGATTTGCCAATTTTTTTCGTCCATATGCGCTGAACGACGTAAACGCACATGTGAATTTGTAGATATCCATGGACTTTTCGACACAATTCTCACTTCTAAACCATAATTGTATTGAGGTCTCCTTCGCCACTTTAATACTGCGGGATGCACATCAAACGACTCCCAAGAGGAATTTCTAGTATCCACTATTTTAGTGTCAATAAGTCGAGATATACACTCGCTGTCATCAGGCGACACTCGCATTATTTCATGTATTTCTAATCGATGTTTAAACAAACTCGCTTTAATTCTATCACCACTTAAGGAATTTGCGTCTGTTAATTTGAAATGATTGTAAACGTCCTTAAATACACGTAGCTCGGATGCTGCCATAATCTCAGCAAAGGGAATGGTACTAATATTAAACCATATTCTAGCACAAGTTCTTTCATCACAATCTTTAACAAAGTTGATATCTGAAATAACAATGAAGTAAATTTATATAAAAGGTGACAGTGGGTTCGTTCACTTGGTTCGCTTTTTGGGGAAAATATCCAAAATTAACCATCTTAATGTGAGGAATAATTTTGCAACAACGGATGAGCTCAATTACACAGCTTTGCAACAGACAAGTCTAATCTCAAATAACTTACCGCTATGATAAAAGCTGCGAACTGTGTTGGCTTCAACGATTCCTTTGCCTTTAGATTCAGCAAAAGGGCTAATAAAGTCTGGTTCTGAATCTAGACGTTTGTAAAGGTCTAACATATAATCTGGAATAGGTGTCCGACGACCTGGTACTGGACGTGACTTTAATCCAAACAGACCAAGAAGATTAGATTCGACAGCGGCTAGGACCTTCTCATTTCCATGCTTCCTCGGGTGTAACGTGTTGGTAGAAAGAGAGGAAGTATAATTAACAACTAGTACTAATAAAAGTAGCACAACACTTCTGTAAAAATCTGCGATCATAGTGGACACAACACCTGAAATTGACAAAAAGGATACAAAATAAGTCAATGAAAATTTAAAAATATCAAAAATAATTATTCGAATAAGCAAAACAAACATTTTCATTTCATACACAATATTACTGCCTAGCATTATTTCCCGAGCTGAGCTACTTGACCTAGCATATCATGTTCAAAGTGTTTATTGTAGTTGATATTATAAATCCAACAGGTTGATGTAGAAAGAAACTCGTAAATCACTGTATGACTTCAACAGTCTGTATGCAAATCTAATAGAACGATATATTATTTGTATGTAGGGTGTTAAATTCTTCAACAACATAATAGAGATATCATACGAAACTAGAAACTGATGAGATAATTAAAATTGATCATTTGTTTTACAAAATGTCAAGGACAAGGACAGAGTGTCATAGAAAATCACATCCAAGGAAATCGCCCTTTAAATTGGTTAGATCCAGTTTTCATATCTAGTTTTACGGGGACGGTTGACCAAATACCTCACAGATTTACGAGATGTAAAGCTTTCATTATATTAGTCGCCCTATGGTTTCTCGCAGGTGTTCGTGTATTTAATGTCAACGTATGTTTACAGATGAGTTTTACTAGACCTCTGTGTATGTCGCTTTAAGGTTCAAATTAAAGTTTCCCCCTATGGGATTTAGAAATGAAAGTTTAATTGACTTTCAACGATGTGAAATTCCGAATGGGTCATCCAGTCATTACGTCTAATGTGTAAGGTCAAAATTAACTGTTTGATACTCGCTACACCTGGCCAATTAATCAATTGATACGACCTGATTTTTCAAATTAGGGTCGTCAAGAACTATATATATGAACAACTTATGTATTCAATGACAAAAACAAACGAAGGTGTGCAATCGTTTCATGCTCATAATAATAATGCCTTCTTTTCCTGAAACTTTAAACGATCTCACGTTCTCAAACACGCACTACTTTAAATATTAAATATATAGGAACTGAGAAGAGTTTACTTTGATAAATCACAAGATATAATAGAACAAGCAAGGTTTACGAGAGGCACAAAGGTAACCCATCAACACATTTCATTTGTAAACAAATCGGGAGTGTACATATTACAACCAAGGCACGTGAAATTGAAACCAGAGAAGTTTGGTTAAAAGAGCACTTACACCTACTTGGATATTATGTGAGTTTCGAAGACCCATGGGGATAAGTTTCATTGTTGTTTCAAATCTCTTCTGTAAACTTGACAATAGATAGAACAAAATATTTACTCCCGACATCTGACACGCAAAGAAGCCCAATTTAAAAGGAATTCTTCATAAATTTTCTATTGCTAATATTAACTGATATGCATTGTTGCTTCTGAAATCCCACAAATGTCGACATATTTATTCACTAATTCCTATGCAAACGGTGATAACATCATTGCTGATACAATTTTATAACCAAAAACCTAAAAAAAAATTGAGCAAACGCGTCTCTTTAAAGACATCCTATTTTTATATCACATACTTAATAAATATACGTACAGGTGTCTGAATGAATGCGACAGAGTATAAAGGGGTCCTCGAATAAAAATCAGTTACGCTTGTAGAACAAGACTTGAATGAAGAAACTTGTTTTCGTTTACCAAGCTGAAATAATATTCAGTAAATGAAAACTAAAAAGCATAGTTGATATTTTATATAACCTATATATCATAGTTATTTAGTTAGATAAATAGTTTATTATGCATCAGGTGGACATTTTATCAGGTGTCTCGGGTTTTTAATATTTATCAAGCTATATATTTTACAGTGTCATTTGACGAACTTAATGTCACTCGAGTGAAACCATCTACATATTATCCTCTCATAAATCTAACAAAATTTCGTATTCTATCACTCCGAATTCTTTGACACTGTATCAAATCGCTGTTTTTGTTTCTTATCGACTGGGCTGTTGCATTACTTAAAATTGACTTTGTCTATCAACAATACTTTCATTTATTTTAGACATTACTCAAGTTGAATTAATTTTAGTAACATTTTCAACAAAAAAACTTGTTCATATTACGTCATTTAAGATATTTAGAAAAATAAAAAAAGCATTCCATACAAAATTTCCATTTAGACATTTCCATAAAGGGAAGTGTAAAACGAAGAATAAGTCATCTATTGTTGTACAAATAGTATAAAATGTCAACGGAGAAAATTCTCAAAATGTCTTTAAATATAGAAAAAAGTGACAAGGGTTAGGCAAATCTAAATGTTAAGTACTAAAAGATATTCCAATATATATGAAACATATTTCATTTAAGTGTCAAAATATCGCGTGTTTAATAAAACCGGTGAAACAACACATACTTAGAAATAGATGCCAGTGAAAAGTCACTTCCAAAAGATTTTTAATGTAATATGATATAAACATACCCTTTAGGCTTAAAATGTATTACGAACAACTTTTACATTTTCTTTGAGTAAATATTTCTTTATGTGTTTAAAATGAAACTTTTCCATTTCAACTTCCAACCCACAGATCTACTTGACGTTCTAGGCGAATAATAAATAACGAAATGCATTGCGTTGCATGTATGTTGCACTTTGAGAACTATTCACTGTAGCACATAAAGTGGTTAATTGATTGAGTGATTGATCGATTTTCGACTTTTAATTAGTGTTCACCAATCACTTAATACTAATTCAAACACTGCTCACTTGAAATTACACTCAAATTTACTTTAAAATCAGTTCTTGCGGAAAGATGTCTTATGTTAAAACTAGAACAATTAAAAGTAAATTCTCCACAAGACAGTGCTAATAATGAATTATAAAACCTCAAATGTTATAAAAAGTGACAAAAAATACTTACAAGTTCAGAAATTCACTTTTTGATCTTATAAACATTACGTCCATTTCGAAGAAAAGAAAGCCTAATATAAACTATTACACTTGATACATCACTCGATACTTCATAAGAATTATCTATAACAAGGGCAGAAGAAAGTGTTCAATATGCTTACCTTTCCGTACACCATCTTTAAATATAGTGATAGATTATCAGCACCCACGCCTCCACATTTTCCAAAAATGAACAATAACTGATAGTAATAACAATATGTCTTATTCACAGTCAATCATCTAATTTCATTGTTGCCTGTCAAAAGACTTGAGTAGCATGTTAACCGTTTTACGTGATTAATGCCATTGCGTGAGTGATTATAATTGACACTAAAACAAAGATATAATGTAATCACAACATGATATTTACTAAGATTAAGTATAATTTAATATTTTCACCTTCATTGTTTGTGTTTTGAATAATTATCGGTAATTCAATTAACTTAATGAACCCCTGTTGTTATCATTACCTGTTGGAAGTCATCAAAACTTCTTGCATTTATTCTTTAATAATCAAAACATCCTGATCCAATTAACAAGTTAATCCAAAAGTCAGTCATACGACTCGTATAATTAAAAGTTCAAACTAAAGCTATCTTAAACGATGGTTTAGTTTGTGGACAGATTATTATTGTAGGGTTCTATAATGAGATGCTCTTTTGTGGGTAACGACATAATTTCCTTCAACTTTTATTTTTAATCACGATTTACACATTCTCAACATTGCAATAATTGTGGGTAGCAAAATATATAACGCAAACAATCTGGCACGAAACCTTTACAGAAAACATTATTTCCAACAAAATAGTCACATGGCGTTGAGAACTATACAGAACACCAGCAAAAGAACGTCGAAACTTTGCATAATATGTTAACCAGTGATAGATGTTCCATAAAGCTGCGTTAATTTTTTTTTTTTGAAAATGAGTGTATTCGAAACCAGCAGTATTTGTGATACTCCGCTAACAAAGAGGATAGTGATATAAACAAACCTGAGCCAATGATGGCAAACTTTAGGAATGCTGTTCTTTACTTAAGCATTGTATTACAAATCCATTTGTTTGTTTTCGTGTCCTTGTTTCAAACAGTGATCAACTAATTCAAGTTAACCAATCCTTTGTTAAAGCCATTTCAAGTGCGGTTAGCTCTTCATTGTCACATAAAATAATATCTTCTAAATTTTTATTTTAATCCTTGTGTAAGTAGAAGCTACATTGTTGCTGTGTTTAAAGTAAGTTTAAAACTACCCTAACATCCCTCATGTCTCTTGTGTAATTTCCCAAGATAAAAAAAAAACAATGATAAATGAAATTAAAATGAAACATTATTTTTCAGTACAGGGACTTTTGACAAAATTGAAGATTCACTGGACACAGTGATAAAAAACGATATTTAAGCAGAGCTACGTCATTACAATCTGACCGTTTTGAAATATTGCGTGGCAAGAGGAACTACAGGATCTGCGTGGCTTCTAATTTAATCCTAAAACTAAAGCAATTTACTTTAAAGTAGAACTGTCTTCTATAATGTGACCTAATTTTTATCATGATGGTTAAATAATTTTTATTAATAGCTTCCAGGGTACCAACACTAGCCAAAAAAACTTTTACTGTGTTCGCCCTTTGAAATATTTGCATAACTTCTCACACGGATATTTTTTTTTAAACAACAGACAGAATACTATGTATTTCAAATTATATTTCATATTGAAAACCCTGTTATTAAAATGTTATTAAACACTTATCATTATTTTTAATATTATTAGAAACATGTTTATCAAGCACAATTTAAACCAAAGAATAGAGGCTCTAAAGCATAATATCAACCATACACAAAGTGAACACACAAAAACATACAAAAATGCAACATAAAACAAATAGAATAGAAAGTCGAATCAATTGAAGCGTAAAATTAAGCTTCCCCTTTTGAAAAACCATGTTATCAGTATAAAGATCGATGTGCATTTCTTTTCTTCAAATATAAGAGGGTTTTTCTTTTTTCAGGAAAAGATTAGACGGTCCATGTTGAGTACGTACATTCAGGTATCATTCATTTATCATGTCAGAAACAATCTCAGCCCAGTGGCAAAGATAAAAAGTTACGATAAGACGAGAGATTTAGTTGTATAGAGGTA